CGCCATGTCGCACTCTGTGCACATTGGGTAGCAGCCGCCAAGCAGCGAGTGACGCATATGCGGTAAGCTGTTGATTTTTTGATGGCGACGCCATTTAGCACGGCGATTGGAGAACCACACCTGAAAATTGAAGAAAGGTTTTATTTGTTAGATTAAGCCACGTGCAAACGGACGTAACAACTCCCAACATTGTTGGCACGACAATTTTTGGAGTTGTTGCGCCAGTTTGCACGTAACACGCAATAACGTGCAACAGGGTGTACAAACGGACGCATCATGTAACATCCAACAATGCTGGGAGCTGTTGGCCAACAATGTTGCGTCCGTTTGCACGGGGCTTTAATTATCACAAGTCAAGCTGCATTTTCTATAAAAGTGTGTATAATGTGGGCAGACTGGAAAGAGGTGAGGAGTAATTGGGTGTGGCAGACGCATTCAGCAATTTAGCCATTTGGTTTTATACAAAGAACTCTGTCTTAACTGGCACTTCTAAAAGACAAATAAAGAAGTAGAGTTGGTTCATGCCGCTTCTTTTTCAGTGTAAGGTGCACACAATCGTAAGACTGACTCTGTACTGTATATTTGGCACTTAGGCCCGGTTTATATGGAGAAAACTTGTCTCGGGCAGTAGGGTCCTACCCGGGCTACCCTGGGCGTACCAACATTTCATACATTTCCTTAAAAAAAACTTGGCGAACTGTTTACTGAGAAACGAAAAGTTTGGTCGGCTAAAAGGGTCACTCCTTTTCAGTGGCAGGGTCACCCTCCTAGCTGGGCCGGATAATCGCACGTTTCTGGGAAACTGCCCACCTACCCCTCCCCTAAGCTAACATTTTGTGAGAAGTAAGGGTTAATGTTGGCCCAGGGGAGGGTTACATGGGTAGTTTCCCAGAAACGTATAATAATTTATCCATATAAACACTTCGGCTCTCCCAGCCAGGTCAACTCGATCAAGGTGAGACAACCAGAGCGTGCGCAAGCGCTATTGTCATATCTTGGCTCGGGGAAATGGGTCAACTTTTTACTCATATAACCGCTCGCGAAAGTTAACTCGACTGGGAGGGTGATCCTCTCTCCCGGGTAACTTTCTTCCCTATGAACAGGGCCTAAGTATCCTGTGCCAGGCATTCAGATCGTGAGGATGGTGCAAAGAGATGTGAGCAGAAAAAATAGCGAGTTTATGATAGTCTTAAATAGACTATGAGCAGTCTTTCTTTTTTCTCAGCCTGTCGAGCGAAACGCGCGAGAGACGAAAATGAGCACGCGTCTCGCGGTTTCACCGCTCAACGACGTTCTTGCGGGCGTGCACTTTCCTCACTAAATCTGAAGAAAAGGAGAGTGCACGCGCAGTCTAGTCTAAAATGGCTTAAACGTCGTGAGAAATGGAACGAACCGAAGAAATCCTTAATACGTGCGCAAGTGGTAAGGGGGGAACACCTAGGCGTTTAAAATTCAATATGTAATGTATGTTTTTTTTTCCTACCTGTACTCGAGCTTCAGACATATCAATTTTGTTGGCAAGCTCCTCTCTCGTGGCTACATCCGGGTAATGAGATTTCCCAAATTCTTTTTCCAGCATCTCCAGTTGCTCCGGAGAAAAAGTTGTTCTGTTTCGTCGGATCTTTCTTTTCTGGTTTCCTTGGGAATCGTTTTCATCCTTGCCACTTTCGCTTCCACTGTTATACCCAGTATTTTCGGAAATGCTATTGAAAGGTTTCTTGTCGGTGCCGGTGGTTTTGTTGTTGCTGTGACTTACGTCACTTTCGTGTATATTGACTTCAAAATTGTTTGTTTCTTCTCTTAGCTCCTCCCTCTCGTTATCACTCGTCAGAAGTAGGTTATCTTCCTCTTCTCTTGTTGTTGCGTCTTTTTTAGTCGTACACTGCCTAAGGGGGTGTACTTCATCAATTTCCTCTTTAAGCCTCACTGGAAAAGAAAGCGCAAACAACTCTCAGCTACAGTTGAGTGTCAGTTGTGAAAGGAAGGTCAACTTAGATGAAGAATTTGTTTCTTGGGAGAAGAAATTGTATTTAAGATAAGAAACGTGATGTATGGGATTAATGACTTCAGAGGATCTGTCTCTGTCTCATGAAACGTCTTCGGAAGTACTTTCGAATTTTATACAATATCGTTTTTTTCACTCTGTGAAGTGAAAAGGGTTTATACCCTACACCTTATATCACCGTATCTAACTATAGAACTTACTTAAAATGTGACATAGGGTTCTAGTAACTCTGACCCGCCTTTCAGCTTGCTCGACTGGCTGAAAAGGGACTGCCAGTAGTCTACATGAAAACATGCCACGCAAAGCTTAGGGGACTGTCCAAACTTTGTGCCCGGAAACTAGGGCACACCTTGAGTACCCGACTGTATACATAGTTACTCCGTTTCGCCTTGTCAGAAGCCATTTTTAAACATGAGCTTAGAGCGAGTTAAAAGCAGTGGACTGTCCCAGAACTAACAAAAACCATGTGCATACAGGGACCTGGTGCACACTTTTGTGCAAAGGTCTCGGCTTTGTACTCGATCAAGCACCGCGGCACCGCACCCGAATTCCAGAGTAAGTGTGCTGTAAAAAGAGTGTATTCACATTAGTGCCCAGCGAGTACAGTACTCGTGCCTTATTTACCTTCATTAAGTTCGTCGTGACTGTTCTCGCTCTCTGTAGATGTAGTAATTGTTAGCTCTGGTGGTCGTTCTATACCTCTCCTCTCGTAATCCTGCGTAGGGAACTCTTCCGAATGTTGCACGGGATGGCAGGACCAAGGCATTCCAGGGTCACAGATAGCAGACCAAGGATGAAAGCCATACATACTTGCCAAATGCTGTCTTTCCCGCTCTATCATGGCATACTGAGCAGCTCTCTCTGCGGCCTTGTTTCTAAGGATGCGGTTTATGGAGCTCACGCTAGGCGTGTTTTCACGATCACAGACGCCTTCCTCCACAAGTCGATCACGGATCTCCCACGCAAAAATCGTCGGGTTCTGCTGCTTATATTGCACAATTTTACTCACCACGGGGGGCGTAGCAACCTTAGGTTTGCTTCCTCCGATCGATCCTGGACGTATGGAGCCTGTTTCGTAAAACCTTCCCAAGATTTTACTTACACATCCGTGTGATACCAAAAGGCGTCGGGAAATTTCGCACGGTCTGACGCCGCATGCCGCAAGCTGGACGATCCGGTGGCGAATGTAATCCGGAAGAGGCCGACCATTCACGAAAGGCCCGCCGAGCTGATTAATTCCTCCATGGCTTTGGAAAAGAAAGGGGGCTGCCGAGGTAAAAAGATGTATGTTAGTAATCCGCTCGTGTTATTCGCCATGGAGTCCTGATCTCCCAGTTATTAAAATAATTAATTCTCTATTTTCGAATTCTTCATAATACATTGTGTATGCTCCCAAATTTTGTATAATATGTTTTTTTTTTCAAATACTCCTAGGACGAGTTTTCCCAACAATATCTCTTGCGTAAAATTTGGTGGCAAACAGCGTGTGTTACGGGGGCTTCGAAAGTCGTCTGGTAATAAAAGCAAACCGAAGTGAATAGTGAAAACATGCAATGAAATTAAAATGGGAGCCATAGCCTGGAGATGTTTCACTTGCCATGTTGTAATATATCACAGTGTTGGATCCAGGGGAGGGGCACGGGGGCCCCGGCTCCCCCTTATTTTTAGACCAAACTGAGTGAGACTAGAGGGGCCGAAAAAAATTTTTTCGAGACCGGGTCCCCCCTTATCTCAGTGTCTGGATGAAAGGGGCCCACCCTTATCTGAAGGTCTCGATCCGTCACTGTATCGTGACGGAGAGGTGGCCATTGGAAGCTGATCTGAGGAGAGAACACGAATCAAGGATATATTGGAAGCTGCCCACTAAACGCTTCAGTCTCACTCTTGACTATGAAAGCCGTTTAATTAATTGTGATCATGGATATAGTCAGTAGCTGATTACTATATATTACTTATATTAACTCCACATTAACTGAAAACCAGCTCCCCTCGGTAGTAAAGCAAGCAACGGAGGACAAATTTTCTAAGGAAAATGGTGAAGGGACAAAGAACCAAAGAAAAAGCCTTCTCCCCCGGCCGCCATTTTTTCTTTTGTGGTTAAGTGCGGCGCCTGCGGAAACAGTGTTTTCGCGAGAAATCGATCGATCCAAAAATAAATTAACAAATAAACGGAAGAGGGTTGACTCACTCAGGGACAGACACACACACATTATTTTCTTTTGTGTGTGAATAATATAATTGTATGAAAGATAATTTTAAAAGATTTTGGACTCAGTTTAATTAAGAACATTCACTTATATTCCTGAGGACTCCATTCAAAAAAATATTTCAGTTTTTTTTTCTTCCTTGATTTTTAACCTTTTCTCATTCGATTTCTTTTCCAGAGTTTCAAAAATCTTCACTGAATAGTTCCCATTTCGAAAATTCAACGGAAGATCTTTCCCAAGAAAATCGGTACCGGGGGCGCATTTCAGTCGATACCCTGCGAGTGAGTAAGCTCTCCCCGGGGCGCTCTGGCCGCTCGCAGGCTAGTTTCTCGAAAGCCTCGTTAACTTTTCGGGCCTGAAATCAAATATTCAATTCAAAATCTGAGGAATAAAACCCGGGGAATAAAAGCGCAGGTCCTCGCTGTTAACAAGCCAGTCCATACTGATAATCTGGAAAGTCCGGAACTTGTCCGGAACAGGGATCGTGGCGAGAACTGGAAACGAGGCCGACAGAGAACTGCCTTTTGGCGGGAAAGTAAACGCGTGCGCTTCTCGCGGCGGGGAGGAAAACAGAACTTCACACTTCGGCCATGTTGGCTCTTGAAAATTGGCTCTTTATGTCTTTTTTACTGTTATTTCAGTGGCTTTCGACATTCGACTGACGTTCTCTATTCTATTCGATTGCATTAAGAGTTGAGTGGAAAGCACAGGAGCAGTTTGTGTTCATTTTATGCTCAGCTCATAAACTTATACCTGCCAACTTTTTCTGAGATTTAGGCGTGAGATTTTTATCCTGGGAGTGCTGGGATTTTTGAAAACGACACGATCATTTCCGAAGATTCCCGAAGAAGTCCGAAGTCTTCCGAAGACGTCCGAAGTCTGCCGAAGGCGAAGTTATCGAGAAAACGCTTATCCACAAAATCAGAGATCGCGAGGGAGGTATTGTCATTTATTCATTTGACACATGGTTTTCGTTCCTTACATGGGTCTGAGTTAACATATTTTTGGAAATTGTGTCAAGCAAGACGGCAACAACTCACATTTTTCAATCAGGCGTGAGAAATTGGTCCGCAGGCGTGAGCGGGCGTGAGATCGAAGTTTTCAACCCGCAGGCGTGAGACTCACGCCTAAGGCGTGAGAGTTGGCAGGTATATAAACTACAAGAAAGCGACGAGCAAGTCGAACAAGAGTAATGGGCGAGAAACTGAAGGTTTGAGCCCTTTACAAAAAGCCTATGTTTGCAGTCTTATAACCTCAAATTATTTTGCGAAATTGGTTTACTAAATGTTTCTTTCGCTTTTATTCTAGGGGTTCCTTTCCATACCAAAGTAACGTAGAAGATGCAACGATATACTGACAGAGGCAATTCAACGCATAAATTTTGCGAAACGGCTGAGATCCGATGTCTGTTGCATGAGCAAACAATGGTAAGTTCGAGCTGTAAGCTTAAAAATGATCACTAATTAATTCTTGTCTTAATATTGCACTACGTTACTCCTGTTCCTTTTACAAATATTTGGTTGATATTTAGACTTTTCCAGACAGAAAATTGAAGCTTGACGGCTCAGATATCAGAGACAACTTCTGTCCCACCGCGAAAATGTTCAGAGATCGTGTTTCTGACCTCCCGTGGAAAATCGTTTGTCACGCAACACACGATCGCTTTGTTGATATCCAGTCTCGGTTTAATATTAGTTAAATTTTCCACAATTTCGAATGATAAGTGTTTAAACTCCATCCTCATTTCTTCGCTTCCCGTCTGTCTACATTGAAATTTTAGACATGGACAATCTACAAAACAGTTCATCCTTGATGTCAAGTTACACATTCACACTATAAATTGCCATAAACTCGAAAACAGTTGGATAGAAGTTCGTGAATTGTGCTGTATCTTAATCCCCCGAGATTTGGGATGCTTTTCTTTTCGGACAAAAATAAGCCCGTGTTTACTATCCTAAATTTTCACGTTTGAGAATTTTGTAGAGCATATTAATCATTTTAAAAAATACAAGGTGTAACAAATTAACTTTGTACGAAAGGGATCAAGCCATCGTTACATGGCTTATAATCACAGGGGCGTAGCCATGATTTTTCCAAAGGTACGCACAATTTTCCTAAACAGTCGCCGCCCCCATATACATCCAGCTTGCCGCTGGGCTTTTCCCCTTATTTTCTCTAAATATATCAGTCAAGGAATAATCACGCGTCGCTTCGTGCAAACCGACATTCAGATGTAAAAAAGAAAGAGCTCATTGTTTCCGAATTGTTACAGGTAGCTACGCCCCTTAATAATACAGTGGCCTCGACAAGAACCTTAAAAGCAAAACTGTCAGAGGCAGTGAAAAAAGAAAAAAGAAGAATTACGACGTAGCAATTAACGTAAACATAGCCCGTTCAGAGGAAGGGCCTTTTTCCCTTCTCGCCCCGCCAACTTTTCGCGTGCCTTTTACTTTCGCGTCTTCCCCACTATTTGAGAGCCTGTAACGGGCTAACGTAAACTTCAAAAGGATCAAGAGAAATGCACAGAAACATTAGTTTTGACGTCTGGACAAAATTATGATAATTTTAGGTTTCACATTTTCAGTTAATTTTGGCTATTTTGCCGCCATTTTGTTAAAAGCCTAACCAAGGTCTTGAATGCGAAGAGGCTACTGCCCCCCTAACCTTAAAAGCAGATAAACATCCAACTATTTATAACATCCGAAATTTTGATTTATCTTAAATAGGGTAATCAAATTTTTGGTTAAGTCTTTTGGTCAAATTTTTGGGAATAATTTTTCTTTTCCTAACCAAGGCTGGGCAATGCATTAGTGTCTCCACATTTATAACATCCAAAATTTTGTCTAATCTTAAATCTTTTAAGTCTTAAATTTTTGGGTATAATTGGTTTCCTCCTTTGCCGGTCGTCTCAAATTTCGGCATATTCTTTCTCCCAGCCCCACCCCTCAGCTAGGCTAAGTCAATGACCCTAATGGGCTCCTGCCCTAACCACTAGCTACCTCTATGACCGACTTGCAAGGGGAAAAAATTACCCAAAATTGGGTGAACGTATCGGCTTTATCAAGGTCTCGTTCCCTCCAATCGATACCTCTGTTGTAAGGCCGCGGTAAGTAACCATATTCTAGTTGACTCTACCCTAAATATGTGGCAAAATTGCCTAAAATTTAGCTACGGGACTGGGCTTGTTCGTCTTGTAAAGAACAACATTACATAATAAATAAAAGAGGAAATACAAAAGAAAAAGAAATTCTTTACTTAAAAAAGGGAATCGTGAGATAAGCCTGTAATTTTAAGTTATCATCGGCTAAAAATTTGATTAAAAACCTATAGATTACTAATGAGCAATGCAGTCTATATTTAAACCGATATTTGTATTAAAGAAGCTCATTACAAATGAGATATGTGGGTGTTTGAATTGAGTCATTTCCGAGCGAGGCATCAAAAAACTTCATCATTGGCTACAGACGAAAAAAATGAATATTTGTTATAAAAAGCGGTTTGTTCATTACAATTTTTTTCCAGGGCTATTGCAATTTGTTGTGAATTCGCGTAAATTCTTGTGCCAGCACTGTTTATAGAGGACGATCAAAACATTAAAAACAATGTAAATTTGGTCGCCACTAACTGTGGTGTATCCTGAAAAGATTTCTTTTGTATCTTTATCGAGTACATCAAATTTTAAATATTAAGTGAAGAATCCCTTTGCCCTGCATGTGCCAAACCAATTAGGATGAGAGCCCAACGAGTTATCAAAAAAGTTATTTCTCTAAAGTGCTATATAGTTAGTAAACATTGGAAATTAACCGAAATGAACATGAAACCATTTAACTCAGGATATAAGCATTAGAGTTATGTCCTTTCCTTGGGAAGTTTAGTCTTTCGGATCCAAGGTTTGTTAAAGCATGTCTTGATTTGCTGCTGTGGCTGCAAATTGCTCTAATATCTGTTGTTAAGTGGTGGATACCAGAAAAAATAATATGAGTGAGTGCCAACCACTCTCTTTTCGCTGCCTTAATTGCTTGCGTTCTTCTTACTTTATTACTTTTGCAGTTTTATTTAATCTTCAAGCGTCCAGCTAAATTGCCGTTTTCTCTCCTAACATGCTGCGTTAATTAATTTTCCAACAATTAAAGGAACTATTAATCATTCTTGATAACGCGAGGTCAATTGATGGTTCAAACGAGCAATCTAAACGAATTAGAAGAAAAGAAATAGAGTTTTTAGCCACGCGAGACTCAAAGATTAGAAAATAAGACTTTTCACATCGAGCTCAAGTTCAAATGGCGTTTCAAACAAAATAATTGACTTTTTATATTCCTAGTAAGGGACTCTAAATGACCATAACAGGCCTTCGACGAGAAAATGCCTAAGGTTAACGTTAACGAAAGAAGACGTCCAACACGGGACCGAACTTGAATTTAAATATAAAGGTTAGTTTATCGTAGACGTGCAACGCATTTTTTGTTTTTCACCTAACTCTTCAAAAATCATGTTCCCTCAAAATGCAATGTCCCATTGGACTCGAGAGAAAAAAATTTGGATGCACTTTATGTAGCAATTCGTGCCAATAAAAAATGTGCAAAATCAGACTCATCTATGCATGACAGTACAGTTAATTCTATGTTGTATTGACATCGGAAAGCAGGTTTGGCGCTTAGTTTACATGAAATTGTCCTTTTCGGTTGGCCCTAAAATTGCTTGGAAACGCTGTTTTCAGAAAGTACCCATTGATATAAAATTGAAAGATTTAAACAAAATGCATTTTTTAAAATGTGTACACGCATTGAAAAGAGAGAATGTCTGTATTGAAAAGGCGTGACGCAATAGATTTTGAGACTGAAGGCGCTTTTCGTAAGCTGGTAGTGCAAAAATCTTCAGCAAATATAGATACTAAGTCTTCTTTGAAAAAAAAAATGTGTTAGAATTTGAAATAGTCAGTTTCTTATTACCTGTATGTGTGCGGATATTATGTTGAAGATACAATGCTCAAGTTTTGAGACCACGCTGAGGATAACAAAAGTCGAAGTAGCCGAGTTTATACAATAAACGGGTATCAGAAAAGTGAAAGTTAAAAGCGTAACGCCGGCATACACAAGTTTGCTTTACTGCGATCCCAACTGAGATACAATGCCTCAAAGTATGACATGGCTTTAACCGAACCTGCAAGAACTCTGTGTCCCTTGGAAAGTTGACTTTTTAGTGAGATCTTAAGACATCGGTTGATTTTCCATTTTAAGTGTTTCATTCTGGTTGACTAACTTACAAATTAAACAACAGTTTCGGACGAAAAATCCAAGCTAGATTTACCGCTCGAAACACTACCACAAAACGATACAGAAAAATTGATGGAAACTGGCTTCGGAGTGCACCATGATAACAAACTGTACTTACCGAGGTGAGACATCTTCTCCGAGGTCGAGGGCTTCGTAAAATCGTCTTTGGCTTTTGACTTCCGAAACTTGACGCTGTAGTATAACCTAAAACAGTTGGGTGTTTTGAGGGATTAGCACTTATGTGTTTAAAACAACTTGCGTTGCACGATCTGAAGTTTTCATACCTTGCGGTTAAAGGTTTCAGCAGCAATTATCTTGCGGTCAAGTTTTCAGTTGCGTATGTGACTTGATGCTTGCTCGCTTCGAATGATCACCCTTGAATGACTGTTAAAATTCTCTTGTTCACTCAGAATTTATACCTATTTAAATCTTTTTAAAACCAAATTAAATCAGCAGCATTTTCTTCTCTCAGCACCACAGCTGTGTGTTTATATTATTTATAGAGTCACATTGCCAAATCAAGACTGAGCAATGGGGCTGAAGAAGAGAGAGAATACAACGAATCGTAGGTGAACCACAACGCTCTTCTTTGTGGGAACTTTCACATGGGATTCTAGCATGCAGTTGCCATCTGTCGTTTATGGCTAATAGAATACTAAATAGTCAACAGATGGTGGTTAAATTGTTCAACCCACGTGAGGCTCAAGGTAGGCTTGCCTTAATCTAATTACCCCTCCCGTACCAATTTTTGATACACCCCTAAATTTCACACCCCTTTCGTTCTGCCGTTTCTTCTATCTTCTTCGTAAAGACAGTGAGCTGTTGCAGGCAATCTTTGTCACAGCTTGCTGCTCAGGTGATTGTTGTTAGCGTTCCTAACGCGCGACGTGTGATTTGGCTCTCAGCACTTGAGCGAAATGTACCATTTTCTGGATGATGTATTGAACATAAACAGCACCTTTCCTCCTTTATTGTTGGCACAAAGGGTTTGGGCGTTTTATGTAATTTTCTATATAAACTTTTCCTTTATGGGGAAAATTTTATCATCTGCTGCAGATTCTAAATTTCCACGCCAGATGAAAAAGGAAAATATGAAAAAACAGAGCTAGGCAAATGTTACTCTTTTTGTCCAAGACAGGCCATCCCCTTAATTTATTATGCAAGGGACACGAGAAAGACATGTTTTGTGAATGCGAACAAGAGAAAATGCATACTTCGTCTCAATGATGTGAGCATAGAATTACAGTTTGATGTACCGACTCAAAGCAATGTAATTAATTTCATGGAAGTGCGAATACGATCTTTCAAATCCCCTTAACACTCGTTACATTGTAATGAAAGGCTACGCCAAATGTTAACTCAATTCTGTTTGTGCAGTTCAAATTGGATACAGAGTAAAGCTCGACTCTTCCAGTCAAAATATTGCCATGCTCTTAGTTGTACATTTGTTCAACAGTACTTTGAAAGACGAATCCGTGTTCAAATAGAAATAATCCCGTCCAAGAAAAGAAAAGAAATATTGTTTAATTTTTTTCCACAAAAGGATTTTTCCAACAAGATAAAGGAGAATATGGTTGTTTTCTGAAAATATATATAACAATGATAACAAACGGGCTGCTATCTTATCTCTATCGATTTGAGAAAAATGTTTATAAATATAATTTTACAGGTACTGAAACACGGTGTCTTCGTATCTTTTCCACCAGGAATAATAATTGCACCCTCGTTGGACGTCCTCATTAAAATGCCAAAATGGTCATTCAAGTTCCAAAAATTAATTTTTTTACGGTGCAAATTGGATTGTTTGCTTTACAGACCGCAGCGAAATCTCAAAATTGCAGTCAATCTTAAAATTCTTAAAAGTCCTTTGTTGAACTCCTTGCCACTATGGCAAATTATCTGATTGATACATAATAAAAAGTAATTATCTACTGTTAATCTATTTATTTAGTGACAATCCCTTCTCAACACAGCACGTATCCATAAAACAAAATTACCAATGCATTCAGTTCAACTCGGAATTAAAACCTTCCTAGTGATTGACCTCTGATTTCATTCGCATTGGTAAAAGTCAATCTCAGTTCTTACCGTCCGGAAATTACTCCATTTTAAAATGTTCTTCCGCCTAACGCAATATTTGTAATGTGGACAAACTGACGATGAATTGAAGTGTAATTTTCACTAAGACATTGTGAAAACATCCCTGTTCTCAAGAAATTAAAAACGGCAGAATTTTTCATTAATCTGCAATAGCCTCATTCACAAATGCCAAAGATTTGCTTAATGTGAATTGTATCGCATTTCCAGTGTACTATGCGGCTTACGACAAGCCGCTTCATTTCCTCTAAGCGGACATTAGAGAGACCGATTTGTTAGTTTTGTTTTCGCGCTGCGTTTGCCTTAATCGACGTTTACATGTTTAAACATCACCTTTTTCAATTTTCGGCTTCCTTTTCTGTTAAATAAGTTTCACAAACTGCGTAAACAGATGCCCCTTATCATTTTTATCACTTCCCCTTTCCTCTTACGCAATTTGATAGAGAAATCTAGCACTGTTATCTTCGCTGTTTTTGGTAGGTAATTTACGGACTGACACATGAAGCGCGAATTAACCCAAAACTCGCGTTGCCTTTGCGCATGCGCGTCTCATTGAATGTTTTTTGGGTTGAAGTATAAGAAGCAGCCTGTGAAATGTGTTACTCTAAAAGTGAAAACATTCATTATGTGGCTTGTTTAGTAAGCCGTAGAAGAAGGACATAACAGTGATTTCAAACTGTTTTAAACGAAATATAGGTATATTTTAAGATATCATTATTTGCCCTCGTTAGAAAAGACGCTAAATACATTGCGCTAACTGTCCTTGTCCTTTAGTGTTTGGCGGTGAAACTTTTATCATAAAAGTGTAAATGACTAGTAAAACTCGTTAGGTCTTAATTACTTAACACGCGGCGTTTTCATCAGCTAATTTTTTTTATTGTTGTACCGAATGTTGTCAATCAACACGGTCAAAATATCACAAATATATACTCTTTTCTCGTTCTGTTTTAAGTAATTCAAGTAAACATTAGATGTTAAACGATTCCGCAGTTGAGTGACTGAATATTAACCTATGACTGTTTAGCTTTGGAAAATTGATTTTGTTTTCAACGTTGTCGCCATTAAATTCATTGAAGAAAGATATTTGTTTCAGAAACCAATGATGCAGTTTTATCCATGGTTTTACCCATCATAGGTCGGAAATTGAATTTTCAATTTCCATTGCCAAATATCATCTATCATATCGAACAATTTGCATTGATGAGCGAAAAGCGAAATGTAAAGAGCAATTAAGGGTGATTTCTACTTCATTTCCGCCGGGACACTTAATTTCTCAATCTCAGTTGCCTACACGTAGGGCATTAATGAAATCGCAGTTCAAAAATCTGTTGGTATCCCATGGAATTGGTTTTTTTTATATAATCAAGAAAGACGTTCATTTCCTATGAATGTGCTAGGAAAAAAAACTTAAATCAAATGCCTTGTGTGAAGGCTTTGCATTGTCTCCTCCCACTTCAATAAAACAGTAACAAATTGACACTTGAAATGTACAGTTCAAAGGTAGTCGTTTTTCACTACGAAAAAGTCTTTGGATGTTCGTAAATAGCATTTTAAAGGGTTGAAAGGTATACCAGCTTGATGTGTTATTTAAGTTTATCTTGCCACCAGTCTGAACGTTATCTACAAAAGAATATTCCTAATTTTATGTTGACGGAAATCGGGTAGCAAAATATTTAGAATTTGTATTGTTCTAAAAGTATGTAGATAAGCTGATGCGATTCACGTACACAAGTTATGAAAGAAATGAATTAATAATCCGGTCTAGGGAGAAAGTGGACCAAATGCAAACTCAGTTTTTTAACTGACGTATCCTTGAGAAATGTAAGGTTGTAAATTCAGTACTGAGAATTATGTTTTGCATATAAAATTGTTAGACATGCAGTATCTTTTACCCTAAAGGAGATCATGAACTTTCATTATATTATGGCAGAAAACTAGTCAAAATATCCTAAGGTTCAAATTTCAATTTCTTGAATGGAGCCAATGTAAGTTTGAGATGTACTAATCTTTTAAACCGGCGCAGAGTCTTGAACTGAATACGTAGTAAGCATATATCTAGTGTACTGAAAAGAAAATGCTTGTGTCCCACTCGCTCAAAAGAAAACTTTGAGGTTTTATTTGAAATAAGAATTCAAAAGATTCGTGAAACGTTTTCGTGCTGGGTCAATCCTAGATATTAATGAAACGTTTGTAATTTATTTTCAGAAAAGAATTGTTAATTTCAAACCAATGGATATCACTGAGTATGCAACACCGCGTCAAGTACTGCATTCAGTTAACTTTGTGAAGCAGACATATTTAGGTGATTCACATTTTCCAGCAAAACTAGAAGAAAAATGTAAAAAAAATATTTGTTTGCTAAGAACATCCTACAAAAGTGACAGTCTCGTTCACGAACCGTTTTTAATCAGCGTGCTTTGATCCCTACCCTACCCAATGCTCTCCTATGACGAAATGTTTACCAGAATCACAAAATTTATTAAACAGCAACATGGATTTTGTTTCGGATAAATTTCTGAACGTCTCCAAAACATTCCACACTTCATTTATTCAAAAAAGGTTATCCTCGATACAGGCTTTGTTCTCAAGAAATAGCTTTTGCCAAAGATTGTTGTCTGTTTAGAGTTGAAAAAGGATCAGACGTCTCTCAGTTTATCTTGGCCTAAGAAAGAAGGTTATCCGCACTAATGGATTGCCTGTTAGAAAGTATATACACATCGGGAAGTCTAAATCCTAGAAGTCCATTCTTATTTCTTTCATTTTCTTACAGTTCATGAGCCACCACTTCTATGGGAAAAGAATGTTGCACAAGCCAGCGTCGATTTACTTTTACTTTGAAGAGTAGTTAAAGACAGATAACACTGAGTTTCTTCTTTCGGAAGAAAGTTTCAGCGTCTTCTCAGCCAAATAACATATTTAAGCTTCTATGGTTAAAAAGAGGTTTAATTGTAGGGTTGTGTTTCTCTAGTGTTTTCTCCGTCATTTGACTTTGCGATATCTACTGTCTAATGTGTTATTTTTCTCTCCTATACTTCTCTAAATTTTTGCTTTATTGTATTATGAACTAATATTTTTTGTGAAGCTCGGGCTAGTTAGCTGAAACCATTAAACGGAAGATATAGGTTGCAGGGACAACAGGTAGACAGCGAGACTTTAAAAGCAGAATACAAAAATTACTAAAGGGTCTTGTTACAGTTATTGACTTAGCGTAAAATTCCACCTAACAAAACGTGTGAAAACACTGAACGTTTAATTTTATTACTTGACATTTGAAGTCACCTTAGTCTCATAGTCTTAATGCGATTTTTAATTCTTATCGTGTAACCTTAACCCTCTTAATGCAGTTTTAAAATATTAAAATGAGCGTAAATAATTTCACTACCTTTTTTTCGTTTAGATTTAATTCAAGGACAGAGAA